AACTAGACTGAAGAACAAAAGGACAGCAACTTGTCTGTTCCCCTTCCCCCAATTCCCCAGCACTGATCCCATCCCCCCAATTCCTCAATAAAAAATAAAATAAATAAAATAAAATAATTTCAAATGCATGTAAATAAAACCGAAAAAAGAAAAAAGAAAGCAAAGGACAGAACAATGTGTAGAGTATGCTGTCATTTGTGGGCTTGAGAAAGAACAAACATGAAGGTGGCAAGGAGGCTTTATCACTGTATATCCTATTGTAGTTCTTGAATTCTGAAATATATGTACATGAGTTCAAAAATAAAATACTTTATTCTTTTCGATAGTTCCAAAATGTTCTAAAATGAATGTGTGCTTCTTTTTATAATAATTGTGTTTAAAGAAAACTTCAAAAGGAAAGCACCTTTAATTACCATACGACAGTCATTGGAGTTAGTTCCTCATGGTTTCCAAGCTATATATGTGTTTCCTTTTTTTGTAGCTTTAATATTCTGAATGAACAATTTGAAATATGGCAAAATCACTAATAAAAAATAAAAAAATAAAAGAAATATGGCAAGCTTTGTTGCCCCCCTTTTAGTGGTTTAGTTGTTCTCGTTCTTGGCTTGGATCTAATGTACAGCTAAGGTTTGTTCCTATTTTAACATTGATGATTTATGTCATGGCTGTTGATCTTTAGTGAGCTGAAGATTAGCTGAAGATTACTTCAGGGAGGTTGCTAAAATGCAGATTCTCAGGGTCCTATCCCCGGATTCTGAGTCAGTGGGTGTAGGTAGGGCCCTGGAATCTATGTATTAACATTACCACAGGAGATTCCAACGTGGGTGGTCATAGACCACACTTTTCAAAACATTCATCCATGGCTTGTTAAGGGAACTTAGTATTTTTCACATAAAAGTGACAATCCTACATAGTATAGAATTTAGATTTGAAAGTGATCTCTTCTAGATTCCTACACACACACACACACACACACACACTATTTATACCTTTATAAGCATCTGTATTGTTATATACCTTATAATATGGTTCTTTGTACACTCACCTTGTCTTCTCTCTCAGCTTTTTGAGAGATCCAAGTCTTTATCTAACCCAGTGCCCCAATGTTATGAAAAAAAAGTACCGTATTTCCCCATGTATAAGACGCACCTTAATTTTGGGGCCCGAAATTTGAAAAAAAAATGTATTACATAAAGTTAATGAACTCAAGTTTTATTCATCATAAAATTCATACATCTCCTCATCACTGTCAAAACTCCCAACCATTAGCTTGTCCTCATCTGCGTCTGATGATGAATCACTGTTTTCATATATTGCCTCTCATGGCCTTCTGCCGTGGCGTTTTCAGTAGGGTTTCTTCTTTCTGTAGCCAGTCTCGGATTGTTTTCTCAGTTGGAGGAGGACCAAACTTATGTTCAGCAGCACAATTTCCATTCACTTTTGCAAATTGGATCACTTTTAACTTGAATTCAGCACTGTACAAAAATCTTTTCTTAGCCATTTCTGGGCAGAAAGTAGCAAAATGTAACCTGCTGTAATATACCAGTAACAAGTGCGAAACAATGAGCGCAAAGACAACAAACACGAAAAAGCAGGAAATGCAAGTAAAATATCCACAACAATGAGCACAAAAACAAGCGCGAAAAAAGCGGGAAATATAAGTTAAAAAATCTACAACCACTGTATAAGACGCACAGAGTTTTTAGACCCCAAATTTTTTTTAAAAGCGTGCATCTTATACATGGGGAAATACGGTATATGTGATAGAAACCAAAGCATACAGTTCAAATGTTACTTTCTTGGCTTCAGGGTCAAGTTTCTCTGCCAGCTGTGTAAGTTCCTGGTCTTCCCACCCCCACCCTTCCCCGTTTTCGCCCCAGGCCCCGCCCAGCACTTCACCCTTCCCCCACCCTCCCCCCACGTTCCGATATAGACCAGCACAGTGCTAACAAACTCAACTTCAATACTGCCTGCTAAGTCTGGAGAGGAGCTGTTGTTTTATTTAAAACTGATTATAAATCACTCTGGTAGCTTTCTGTCTTTCCCAGGACCTCTGATGAGCCCTTTTCTCTCTAATTCTTAAAGTGAAATGACTGCCTGAAAAAGCAGCACAAGTGGTTCATATAAACATCCCAGTGGGTTTTCCACGTTACATAAATAATCAAGTGTAGTGGGACGCGAATCATGACGTAGAGCGGCAGCTCTATGCTACCCCCTGCTGGCAAGATGCTCCAAGGCATCGCCGCCCCACCCCGCCTCCTGGCGCTCACTGTGGACTCAGAATGCGGAAGCACATTTGTTTGTCCCCAGCTGCGCCGGGCCCCCTGCGTCTATAAATATTTGCTGATAGATTAACACTGTGAGTGGCAGGCAACAAAAACACAGAATTGTACTTTCTTCTGCCCAAATGAGGATCAACTGTGCAACTTCCTTTTTTTTTTTTTTTTGTACAAAATGTGTGAGCTTAATCTTAATGGACAAATCAGTCAAAAAACTAACGCGGAAGATCTCCTAGACTCAAAGCACAATCCTCATAGCACGAAAGGTACATGCCTAAATCCCCACTAGTACAACTCCAGAGCTTTTGAGAAAGGTCATTGTACCCACCAACTGGGACATTCACCCCAACCCAGACCTAGAGCCCTCAAAACAAATCAGGACGAACTTCAAAGTGTCCCAAAGGCACAACTCAGATGACCTAGCCTGAAGGACAGAGAAGACAAGGAGAAAACTGGGTAATGGTTAAGCAGTCTGGAGGACGTTCGTGTCCACTGAGATTAGAAGAAGAAATATCCTGGGGTGGCAGTGGGGGTAACGAACTGCCTAAGAAGAGCCTGAATCTTGTACCGAGATTCTTCCTCCTTAGGGGTCACTAGGAAAAAAAGAATTTAGTCAAGAATAAATACGGCCCTACCCAAGGCACATGGGATGCATTGGATGGCATTTTGGGGTCCCTCCCAGCTATACAAATAAAGGCTCATTTAACAGTCCCTGTGAATAGGCAAGATGGGATCATGTGAATAAGAGCAAAAACCAATTTACTTGTAAGATTTGGATAGAAACGACTACCCCCAGCTATCACAGGGGCTGAGCGAATCTCTGGTATTTCAAGTTCCCTGATGACAGAAGCAGCATTTAATGGAAGCTGCTTGCTGGGCTAATGGTCAGGCTCTGAGTGGAAATTCCGAGATCAATAGGCCTTTTTAAATTCACGAAATCAAGTCTGCACCTCAAGCTTAATGGTCTGATAAGAACAGCAAATCCATGTAGTCCTTTCTCCTGTTCCCCACCATGCATTTCATTGGTTCATACCCCACTTTTCCTAAAAGTTAATGATGTCATTATGCAACTTTTGGGGAGAGGTGAGCAAGGAGAGATGACAAGTTGTGCCCAGAAAATCCGCTGAAAGATGGGTTTACGGCAATGCAGGCTCCACCTCATTAAAAAACAGCAACGTTTTCAACAAACGCTAGTGAGGTCCACTCATAAATTGAGTCTCTGCTATGCTTAAGAGAAGTCTCTATCTTGCTGGGATTACTAATTGGCTCTAATGTTCCTAATTCAGAGTTACAGGCACTTTGTTTTAGGAAAAAGTTTGAATTACACATTTGTAAAATGCAAACTAAATTCTTTCCTAGAACAATGCTTCCTGCCCTGGGCATTGCAGTGATTACATTTCTTCCCTGTATTTGGTTTTTATGAAATGGAAAAGCCCAAGTAAAATGTCAGGAAAATAAAGTAAGTTTTAAGAAAATAAATCAGAAAACAAAATCATGTATCTTAAATACGATCAAAACTTGCGTGTTGAATAGGGATTCATAGGTTTCCCATACTTTCTACAGGTCCACGTCAGACAGAAGGTACGGAAGAAAAGACTTCTTTATGAGCAAAAGGGGGAACTTCTGCTCAATTGGAGGACTCTGAGGGACAGCTAGACTCCCAATTAGCGAAGGGCTGGATCGAGAGGAGCAACGCGTATCAGAATTTTCAACCAGGGCTGAAACACAGGGGGCTAGTTGGCCACAAAGTGTAATTAATGAGAACATCCCCTCGGACTCCTCCTATAACTCACACTTATCTCTATTACTACAACTGCTTGTTTCACTTTATCCACCACTGCACCCTCAGTATGCTCAGAGAATTGGGAATGCGTCTGCTTTTCTCATTATCATATCTCAAGCTCCCAGCAGAGGGCTGGCATTTGATGGATAAAAGTCAAATTTAAATTGAGGTAAGATTTTGCTATAAAAAGTAAATCAGGCAAGAATGAAAAAGGAATTAACAATAGGCCTCCATTCCTTAGTAACAGCTCATAATTAGAGTTACTTTCATAATATAAGATTTCTGAAGTTGGAAACCTACTGAGGAATCAATAATTTCTTTAAAATCTTAAGTCTGGAAAAAACTATTGCTTTAAAACTAAAGTTCTCTTAATCAGTACGATCCATAAAAAAAGTATTTAATGGTTCGCTTTGCCGAATTTTAATGAAGCCAAACTCTAACTTTGTACTGGAAGCGGGAGGGACGCTGACAGCCTGTCTGATTAACCCTATTTACATAATCTCTCACCACAGGGGAGGACTGCCTACTAAAACCCTCAGAATACAAACCACACCAGCAGCCAGTAAGTGTGGAGTTCCACTTCAGGAACTCTCTTTTGTACCCGTGACTGAAGAACTTTTTCTTGCTGACTTTATCATCAATAACTACTTATCAAATCTACCAATATTGACTTTGTGAAGTCGCTCCCCTCCCCACACGTCACCTAGGACTTTGTCTTCTCTTCTCTTCCTTCACTGAATGGGGGCAGAATATCTGAGAGTGGAAGACGAGCATGGGATCTGTTTCTGAAAAGTAGCAGTTTTAAAGATATTTTATTGTTTAATACCATTAATAACTGAAAAAGCGAGACTGAAAACAGGAAGAAAAAACAAAAATGAAAAACTCCAAAAACAAAACTTGCAACTTAAAACTTTTTAAGAAACAAAATGCTATAAATATGAGATGTAAAGAGAACCTTTACTTTTAATAATATACAATCCTGATGTACCTAACCGTTACAACAAATGGCGGGAGATTTTAAAAGTTATCCCCAATGCCTTTCTAGTGCTCTAAAATCATCTCTCAAAAGAATGAGGCAAACAGGTCTCTCTTGAGTATGTAATTTTTATAAATTGCATCAGACCCACAGTGTCTGTCAGGGAGTTCCACCAAAACCAAAGAGAAGTTCAAAGATAAAATTGCAGCAGGAGATCAGGGAAAGGGAGACACGCGAGGTCACCCCCAAGCTGTTCTTCCTCTGGAGCGCGTGACACCGGTCCACACCCACGGGCGCAGAGGGCCGTGGAGTGTCATGGGGAAGGCTCGCTGCGGGACGGCAGAGCCCAGTCCTATCTCCCCTCCGGGGGTCTGAACAGTAGCTCGCTCTCCAACTGCTCTGCAGTGAGGGTGCCCTGGATGGCTTCGCAGCCCGGGTTGAACACAGAGTAGGCGCTCCTCTCCCCCTCCTTCTTCTCCTCCGGGCCCCGAGTCCCGACGTACATCCAGTAGAACAAGGACAGGACAAAATAAGCCAGGCCGAATTCCAGCTCCACAAACAGTCCCAGCAGAACCAACCAGAGAAGAACCTTCAAGAGGGTGACGTTGGTCCAGAAAGACTGGTCCCGTGGCAATGGCGGGGGAACGGCTGTGCTCCGTGGGGGCGGTGAGGCGCTGCTCCCAGGCTGAGCCGCTTCCTAGGACACGCAAACAAACAAACGTAAGAATAACGTGTAATGGGGCAGGGAGGACCAAAACCAACGTGGAGACGCAGCTCTCATGGCCCTGGGAAGGCTTCCGGTTCATTGATTTCTATTTTCTTGTTTTCTTTTCATTCCAAAGTGTGCTGCAGACTGCAAGCACTTACATTTTTAATGTTTCCATTTCCCTTTGTTTCTTTTCTGTCCAAACAAGTCAGCTTTTATTTTGCCTTTTTTTCCATAAAAAGCCCCAGGGTAGATGAATCTAAATGTTTCCTGAGGATCTTCTTTGTGTAAATCTGCCTTACACTCTATACTTCCCATTTACAAAGGGCGGTACAGTTTATACAGGTCTGCGGATTAACACGACCTCATCTCAACCATTATTATTACCCCTACTTGGTTCCCTTCCTCCACTAACTTTATTTTTTTAAGATTTTGTTAAAATATAGCTAACATACAATATTATATTAGTTTCAGGTGTACATCATAGTTATTCAACAGTACTCACCTGGCGCTATACAGCGTTATTACCAAATTATTGATTATATTCCCTATGTTAAAAAAGTGATCACCATGATAAGTCCAGCAACCATCTGACACCATACCACACTATCACAATATTATTGACTATATTTCTATGCTGTATATTACACCTCCAAGACTTATTTGTTTTATATCTAGAATTTTGAACCTCTTGTTCTTTTTTATATTCCTATTATTTTTTTAATTAGACATTTAATATTATTTTATATTAGTTTTAGGTGTACAGCATAGTGGTTAGACATTTATATTAAGGACAGAAAAGGGGCCACAGGTTAAACCTGACAAGCTCAGGAGACTGAAATTCACCACACAGAATGGTCTGAACATAAAAATGCTTAACTAAAAGTGGGTCATGGCAGGTAGTTACATCCTTGGCCTGTAGCTTCCTTGAAAAAGGTCAATCTTTACCTTAAGTGAGGCTATCCATTGTCTCTTTTTACATCTAAGATAATAACATGTCCTTGGAATATCAGAGTAATCTCTTTTTCCAGACGTCCCAGGGGCACAACCCACCACACCAGAGCAGGAAACTACAAAATCCCTCATTGTTATCTTGTTCCCCAAATACCATCTCTATGTGCTGTAAAATGCTATTAACTATGCTGTACCCATCAGTGTAAAAGAAGTGTGTGTCTCTCCATTTTACTTCTTATCTAATCCCAGAGAGTTCCCCGCTTTGCTTTCTCTCTCCCACCCCCTTAATCTCCAACCAATGGATTTCATGTAACCTTCCTCCTTTGACTCTAATGTATAAAAATAAGTTGCAAAATCGCCATTTTCCAGAGCATTTTGTGAATCCCTTCAGACTTTGCTTCCCAGCAATTGTCAGTTTGGCTCAAATAAACACTTAAAAATAAACACTTACATGCTTTCTCTTAGGCTGGATGTTTTTTTCGTTGACAATATAATTTGGGAAGTGATCCCCCTGACTAGTACCCACCTGGCACTATGCATAGTTATTACCATATTATTGACTATATTCCCTATGCTTTACATTCCCATGACTATTTTGTAACTACCAATTTATACTTCTTAAGACCTTCACCTTTTTTACCCTGCCCACAACCTCCCTCCCATCTATCACCCCGAAATATCTAGTACACAACTGATACCATACAGTTATTACAATATCACTTACTGATTATATTCCTTATGCTATACCTTATATCCCCATAAATACTGTATAACAACCACCAATTTGTACTTCTTAATCCCCTCCCCTTTCTCACCTACCCCCAACTCCCCTCCCATCTGGCAATAATCAAAATGTTCTCTTTACGAGTTTGTTTCTGTTCCATTTGTTTATTTTGGTCTTTAGATTCTACTTATAAGTGAAATCATATGACATTTGTCTTTCACTGTCTGACTTACTACACTCAGCACAATACACTCTAGATCCATCTATGTTGTTGCAGATGGCAAGATTTCGTTCTTTTTTATGGCTGAATAATATTCCATTGTATATATGTACCACCTGTTCTTTATCCATTCATCCATACGGGGACACCCAGGTTGCCTTCATATCTTGGCTTATGTAAACAATGCTGCAATGAAAATATGGATGAGCACTTCCCCTTGAAGTAGCATTCTGGGTTTGTTTGGATAATTACCCATAAGTGGAATTACTAGGTCCTTCTTTGTCTCTTGTTATAGCCTTTGTTGTAAAGTCTATTTTGTCTGGTATAAGTATTGCTACCCCATCTTTTGTTTGTTTCCATTTTCATTAAATATCTTTTCTCATCCCTTTACTTTCAGTCTCTGTGTGTCTTTTAACCTGAAGTTGAGTCTCTTGCAAGTAGCCTATGTAAAGGTCTTGTTTTCTTATCCTTTCAGCTCCCCTATCTTTTGATTTTATTGGAGCATTTAATACATTTCCATTGAAAGTAATTGTTGATAGGTATGTAGTTATTGCCATTTTATTATTCATATTTTTTTTTCACCTTAAAGAAGTCCTTCTAAGATTCCTTGTAATACTGGTTTGGTGGTGATGAACTCCTTTAGCTTTTTCTTGTCTGGGAAGCTCTTAATCTGGCCTTAATTTTAAATGAAAGCCTTGCTGGGTAGAGTAATCTTGGTTGTAGGTTCATGCTTTTCATCACATTGAATATTTTGTGCTAATCCCTTCTGGCCTGCGAAGTTTCTGTTGAGAAATCAGCTGAGAGTCTTATGGGAGCGCCCTCGTAGGTAACTAACTGCTTTTCTCTTGCTGCTTTTAAGATTCTGTCTTTAACGTCTGGCATTTTAATTATGATGTGTCTTGGTGTTGGCCTCTCTGGGTTCATCTTGTTTGGGGCTGTCTGTGCTTCCTGGGCTTGTATATCTATTGGGTCTTCAGAAAAGTCATGACGCATGTTTGCAACTCATGGTGCTAGTTCATTTTTGGAAGTACTAGAGTCATTCGTATCTATGTTATTGCTATGTCATTTGACAGCTGACAGTTCTAAAAAAAACTTTTTTCATTCTAAAAAAAAAACTGAGGGAGTTTTGGAGATTTTACAACAAATTGAAGATGGAAGACAAAACTGTGCATTTTTGCCATATCTGTTTTACTTCCATAAAGGGAAGAACGGGCGTCAAGCTTGTGAAAAGTTGCATAAAGTTTACGGTGACAGTGCTCTACAAGAACATCAGTGCCAACGATGGTTCACCAAATTCCGTGCTGGTGATTTTGATCTCAACGACTCTCCTCGGTCAGAGAGGCCCACCGAGGTTGACGACGACAAAATAAAGGTATTGATCGAGTCAAACTCACGTTACACAACACAAGAGATTGCAGAAACATTGAACATCCATCATTCAAGCATTCATGACCACCTGAAGAAGCTGAGATACGTAAGCAAGCTTGATATTTGGGTTCTGCATGAACTCAAAGAAGTTCATTTGACGGCGTGTATAAACATCTGCAATATGCTCATTAAATGTGAGGAAGCGGCTGATAACGTGATGAGAAGTGGATTGTTTACAACAATGTGGTGCGCAAACGGTCTTGATCCCGACGTGATGATTTACCTCAAATGACATCAAAAGCAGACATTCATCAGAGGAAGGTCTCTCAGTGTGTTGGGATTTTAAAGGTGTCGTGTTTTTCGAGCTCCTACCAAGGAACCAAACAATCAATTCAAATGTGTACTGTCAGCAATTGGATAGTTTGAACGAATCCATCATCCAGAAACATCCAGAGCTCGTTAACTGTAAAGGAGTTGTGTTTCATCACAACAACGCAAGACCACACACGTTTGATCATCCGTCAAAAATGATTGGAGATTGGATGGGATGTGTTGCCACACCCACCACACTTGCCTGACCTCGCACCGTCAGACTTGTTTCGCTCTCTTCAAAACTCCTTGCATGGTATAACGTTCAATTCAGATGAGGCTATAAATCAGCACCTTGTTCAGTTTTTCGCAAATAAAGACAGGTCCTTCTATGAACGAGGAATTATGAAGCTCAATGGAAGATGGCAAAAGGTTAGCGAACAAAACGGCAATATATCACTGATTGATCTTTGTTCTTTATATAAGTAAGTGACCTTTGAAAAACATAGACAAAATACATCATGACTTTTCCAAAGACCCAATATTTCCTTCATCAGGTTAGGGAAGTATACTGTCATTATTTCTTCAAATAGGTTTTCAATTTCTTGCTCTCTCTCTTCTTCTGGTACCACTATAATGCAAATGTTGGTATTCTTCAGGTTGCCCCAGAGGTCCCTTAAATTCTCCAAAATTTTTTTGTATTCTTTTTTCTTTTTGCTCTTCTATTTGGGTATTTTCTGCTGCCTTACTTTCTAAATTGCTGATTTGATCCTCTGCTTCCTCTAATCTATTGTTGGTTCCCTTTAATGTATTCTTTATTTCAGTTATTGTATTCGTTATTCCCAACTGGTTCTTGATTATGTTTTCTATCTCCACTTTTATGTTTCCTATCTCTTTGTTGAAGTTCTCCCTGAGATTACTGAGCATCCTTATAACCAGTGTTTTGAACTCTGTGTCTGGTAGATTGCTTGTCTGCATTTTGTTTAGTTCTTTTCCTGGAGCTTTGTTCTGTTATTCGGGACATATTTCTTTGTCTTCCCATTTTGGCTATCTCCCTGTTTGTTTCTATGTATTAGGTAGGGCTGCTATGTCTCCTGGTCTTACTAGAGTGGCTTTATGTAGTAGGTGCTGTGGGGCACAGTGGCACAGTCTCCCTGGTTACAAGCTGGGTGCTCCAGGAGTTTCCCTTGTGTGGGTTGTGTGTGGCCTCCTGTTGTAGTTGAGCCTTGGTAGCTGTCTGCATGTAAATTGGACTGGCCATGACTACAGTGGAGGAGCTGTTGTGTAGAGGCTGACCCTACAGAGCAGGATACACGTTAGCAGGGCTCTGGTGCCTGCCCAGGCTGCCCTTTGGGTGTGTGGTCCTTGGAGATGGCCGCGTGATGCTCCAGCTTGGTCTGAAGCCGGCCTCCAGGC